GAAAGTTCAATTAGTTTGTTCTTCATGCTTTTCCTGCTAATAGAGATGGACTTGCAGAAATTCTCTTAATACACATACAGGCTTAAAATAATCACCTTTATAATTTTAGGCCTTGTGAATACTAAGAAAACATTGCACTAAAACTTTTGTCCATCTTCTGAATGATGTCTGAATTTACAGACTTCGTTCCACTTTCCTGTATCGAAAGAATTTGACTGTACTCAGTAACAGTGCAAGCTTTAGTCAGTGTTCTCACTTTATTGGTAATGAGTTGTACTCTCTTCTGTCAATCTGTTTTGGTGAGATGGGAGGGTGGGGTAGCCAGAGATCAACCTGGCTGTTCACAGTTTTACCTGGGTTTGTCCTGCACACCAGTGGATTAAGCTAATATATGCATTCATAGGAATAAAAATACTCACTTGAGACAAGAATTACTAGACTCTGCAACCATGACAACCATCTCCAGGCTCTTTCATTTCGTAAATGTCACACCTGTAGTATCTGCAAGGGCCTTGGACTTCTTCCCATCTAGCCTTGGGAAAATGAAAAATGTTCATTTTTCATATGGGAAGCGAGGCCCCAGGGAAGCAGTTTACTAGCGGTCACAACAATTTGAACAAAGAAAATCCAGAGTCCCAAAGTTGCATGCCATATACTTGGTTACCCTACGCGGAAGGGAGTTTAACCACTGAGAAAATAAAATCTGGCACTTCCCCATGGTTGCGGTGTTTGTTGTAAAATCTGCCCTTTTGATTTCTTGCTACTCTTCAAACAGAACCAGAGGTATTTGTTTTATTTCAGGTGTGACATTTTGTAGCTTTTAGCACTTTTAACTAAGAACTGGTGTTGGGGTAATTAAAAAAAAAAAAAACTAGGTTCTTAAAATCATGCTTGTCTTAGTCTTGGATCACTGTGGAGGTCTTATTCTCTTGTAACCACTGTGCTAAAAGCTTTGCATGGGTTATCTCATTTAATCTTCCAATAAGAAGGTTATGACCTATGAGGAACTGCATTTTCCAGCTGAGGAAAATGAAGGTAAGAGAGGTTCGGTGATTTTCCAGCATCAGGTAGCTAGTTCATGGTAGGCCTGAGATGAATCCCAGCAGTCTAACTTAACTACTCTTCACGCTTGGCCACGGTAGAAAGATCAAGGAGTTGTTCTTGTCACTAACAATTGCAGATCCTTCAAAATCACCTAGACACATGGATTTCCTGGATGCCCATGTGTGCACACTGAAGTATAAGATCTCCGTGGAAAAGAATTCTGATAGCGTGAGGCATGTCTAATATCTAAGTATTTTGCTACTTCTGGTTTTTAGTTTATATTGGTGAGGGAGATTAGCACTAATATTTATTAGAAGGGGAAAGAGTTATCCTCATAGCATAGCAGCTCTTCAATAAATGGATACTGAATTAATCCTATTTTCTAAGGAAAATGACACTGGATCAGGAACCAGAGATCTAAGTTCTTAGTTGTGGTTTTAACAGCAGTTCACGGCAACAATGTCAGTTTGTATCTACACCCCTTAGCTTTCCACATCTTAAAGGGAGTCCAGAAATATAAGCATCAGTGATTCTGCAGTGGCATTGTTCACTGTAGGGCTCATAGCTGGAGTATCCACTGGAGTATCTGAGCGTTTGAGCTGGGCTGCCTGACACTGTCAGGTCCTGAGAGATTCATCCAGGCTAGGACTTTGGGTAAGCTCAGACCTCATGAGCAAGGTGGAAGGGAGTTGCCATGATTTTGGAGCAGCACTTGCTAGGCACGTTGTTGCTCTGAGCAACTCCTAAAGGTTGGTAGGTTGAGCATTGTGCCACTAGGTCTGTGGAGAGAAACTGAGAGAGCTAGGATGCCTGTTTGGGGCCTCCTAAAAGAATGACTGCAGCACAGAGAATCCTTCCTCTTTAGAGACTGTTGGTGCACAGAAGCCCCTACGAACCAATAAGGATGAGAGGAGCAAGAGCCACATGGACAATACTGCAGGAGTCTTCAGATCCGGAGATCAGATCTCCCCCAAGATGGAGAGCAGTGACAGAGCTATAGCAGTGTAGACCTTAGGGACTTCAATACAACAGGAGACCCGAGGAAGGAGCATCCCTCTCCATCCTTCCCATATGCCCTACTAGCTGGGTGAAAACTAGGAAAATGCAGGTTACACACCAAAGACAGCTGAGGTTTATGAGGTGTCGTGACCTCCAAGGTGCACGTTTCTATCCCTCCATCAACTGACTGGCTTTTTCTGGTAATAAAACCTTAGATGTATTTGATTATGGTAATATTAGACATTTACAGTCCTTCTGGTATAATTCTAAATCCAAAATGCTCTGAAAACTGTTTAAAATAATTTTGTGGGTTGGGGCACCTGGGTGGCTCAGTCAGTTAAGCGTCGGACTTCGGCTCAGGTCATGATCTCACAGTTCATGGGTTCGAGCCCTGCGTCGGGCTCTGTGCTGACAGCTCAGAGCCTGAAGCCTGTTTCAGATTCTGTGTCTCCCTCTCTCTCAGCCCCTCCCCTGTTCATGCTCTGTCTCTGTCTCAAAAATAAATAAACATTAAAAAAATTTTTTTAAATAATTTTGTGGCAAGTTTAACTCATTTGGTAGTAAACCTGACTGAAACAGACAGGATGCTATTGTATACCACACTTAATGAGAAATACCTATGTTTGGTGGCAAAAATATTCGTGTGTTTGATCACAGACTGCCTCCACAGACCAAGTTGTGAACAATATGCAGTTTATGGAAAATGCAGCTTACTGCCTTTCTGAAAGTGGGAGAATTCTGAATTCCAAAATCATCTGGCCTCGAGGATTTCAGAAAAAAAGACTTTCAACCCATGAATTGTTTTTTTTTTTTTTTTTTTAATCCTTGTTTTTTCTAAGGAAAATGCATATCACTGGGATCAGGTAGATTCAAGTCTAGTTGTGGCTTTAAGCAGCAGCTCCATGCAGCAACAATGTCAGTTTGTATCTACCTCCCTAGCTTCTTCCACATCTTAAAAGTGCAGTCCAGAAGTAAGCATCTATTCCCAGTGGCATTGTTCATCAACGTAGCTCATAGCTGAGTATCCACCTGAGTATCTTGAGCGTTTGAGTCATTGCCTGGGATTGTGGGTCCCGAGAGGCCCTGTCCAGGCTAGGGATTCTGTAAGCTCAGACCTGAAGGGAGTTGCCATGATTTTGGAGCAGCACTTACTAGTAAATGCTGTTGCTCTGAGCAACGTCTCAAAAAAGGTTGGTAGGTTGAGCACAGCCAGGTGGAGAGAACGCCGAGGAGAGCCAGGGAGTTCGTTTGGGGCTCCCAATGACTCAGCACAGAGAATCTTCCTCTTTAGACTGTTGGTACAGAAGCCCCTTACTTGAACCACAAGGATGAGAGAGGAGCAGAGCCACATGGACAAGGTCAGTGAGGTTCAGATCCGAGATCAGACGATGAGAGAGCAGTGACAGAGCTATATAGAATCTTAGGGGACACAATAGAGGACCCGGTATACACTCCCTTCCCCCCCCATCCTTCCCATATGCCTCTACTACAAAACTAGGTAAAATGCATACACACCAAAAGACAGTTGAGGGCTTGAGGTGTCGTGACTCTGGCAGCACGCTTTCTGTCCTCTCCATCAATGACGATCTGGCTTTTTCTGGTAATGTTCAGGATGTATTTGACATTATGGTAATATATATTCCTTCTGGAAGTAATTTCAAATCCAAAATGCCTAAAACTGTTTAAAGTCAATGGGTTAGCACCTGGGTGGTTTCCGTCAAAGTTAAGCCGACTTCTTCATGCTCAGGTCATGACCACATGCCATAAAAAGAATGGGAATTGTTGCTCGAAAGCTCATGCCGGGTCGCTGACAGTCAGAGCCTGAAGCCTGTTTCAGATTCTGTGTCTTCCCCTCTCTTCTCAGCCCTCCCCTCAAAACCATGTTTGTCTCTGTCTCAAAATAACAAACATTAAAATTTTTTTTAAATAATTTTGTAGGCAGTTTAACTCATTTGGTAGTAAACTGACCGAAACAGACAGGATGCTATTGTATACCACACACTTAATGAGAATACCCATGTTTGGTGGCAAAAATATGTCTGTGGTAAAAGTTTGATCATTTTTCCACAGACCAGAACAATAGGCAGCCAGCAAATGCAGCTTACCGCCTTCTGGAAAGGGAGAATTCTGAATTCCAAAACTATCTGTCTGGTGATAGGCATCTTCAAACCCATGAATTGTTTTTTTTTTTTTTTTAATTTTGGCATTTTTTATTCCTTAAAGAAATAAATATTTTGTTTGTTCTTTTTCTCACCTTACAGGAAACCAAGGAAGAAACAAATGTAAATGGTGGTTCTCATGCTGATAAACTGTAGCCAAAGCTTTTGGGGGTGTGGGTTCCTCAGTAGGAGTCGGTTTTCGGAGGAGTGAAATCTGGATCTCTTCCAGCAATC